ACGAGTTGTGCGAATTTTCGGCATGGTTGGTCGACGGCGGTGGCGGTCGGCTGCAAGTCACGGTTGACACCACCTGGTCCCAAACACGCGCCGGGTGGCTGTGACGCTCGCAGCGCCTTGTGTCTGACTAATCAACAAGACCGTATGGTGTAGCTGGTTATCACGCATCCTTCACATTGGTGCTCGGATGAGGGCTTCAGTTCGAACCTGAATGTGGTCATACTTTTAACCTGCTTTGGTTGTCTCTCCACCCTCCGCTTGTTCTCATCCACCACCATCCATTCCAACATCTTCCCATTGCAATGTCCTCCTCAGGTTAGACTATTATCTATAACATTGCCCCCATTTACTCAAGTAGTTTGCCATTGCAGGTTCCTCGACAATCCATCCCTTGAGCAACCCTTATCCCCAGACCTACTACCGCGCTCCATCCAAACGAGCCTCTTCTCAACCAAGCCGTAGGACTCCCCAACCTCCCAGCAAACAACGCCAACAACGAGCTACACCACCTGTTCGCCGTTCACCGCCTACCACTCCACGCTATGCGCCCTCCACCTCGTCATCCGGCAGCACTCGACGGCCATCATCAGTCACCACCTCCGTTCCGTCCATCCCAGACGAGAAGAAACGGAGCCCACTTACGCCGGCTGTGTTAAGGTCGATCTTTGCGTCCTCTCGAACGCCGTTGGAAGAGCGAAGCATTTCGAGGGTTGCGTTCTTCAGGTAAGTAGATAGCGCATACCCTTTGCCATGATTGACTTATCTGGCCTTATATACAGATTCGTTGGATTCGTTCTTAGCTGTTTGGGAATCAGTGTGTACGCAGCACGCAGTCGCGGAATACGAGGGACTACCGGTTTAGGTCTTTCTATGCTATAGTATTCGTGCCCAAATGTATGTTCGTGGTTCAATTGCATTCCCAGAACTATTGTACATCGCAAACCCTCAAACAAGAACGCGTATCCAAGTACGGTCTCCTATTTCACTAGTAGGACATAGATTTCTCAATAATAGCAGTCAAATGCTCAGCTCCATCTGCTCCGTTAACATCACCTTGAATGCGGGGTCAGCCGTAATCCAGACAGAAATACAATCAAATTCAGCTTACCGATTCCGGGAGCGAGATCAAGTACACGACGCTGCGGAATTGTGCCCTTTACTAGCATATTGATGTCGCTATTTTGGTATCCGACCGCTTTGAGACCGCGGGGTACACCCAAGTTATCCAAGAACTGAGCAATTTGCTCAAATAAGTAGTCTCCGACGGCATCGTCTATATAAACAGTTAGCTCCCGTTCAGTTTTTGTGTCGAGGAACACACCTGAAAGGCGCGAGATCTTAGGGTCGTTAACGTCCGTCCCAGCGAAAACCGCAGCCGCCTCGCGATGCCGTGACGGGGAGGATGGAGCTGTGAACTGGAAGACTAAATCCAAAGTCAGAAACACTTGATTTTCGGAAACTAATATTATGGTTTACCTGCTGGACCGGTCAGCGCCACGCTTGAATGCAAGCTTGTTAGTTCCATGCGTATAAAAATGAATGCTTTTTTACCTAACACCATGAGGGATGATAGGTTTGTCTACAAGGTATCCTGGGTGTTTATACTTGGGTCCCGTTTTGTTGAACCCAGAGATCTAACGTCGCGTGAGTTCGACTAATCACCAAGTTGAATTGGCCAACAATTGGACCTACAGGATAGCTCATGCCATGACACAAGTGCACTCCAGCGTTTCCGAACCCGATACCAGCAAAGGATGAAGCGAGTCTGAGAGTCATGTAATTGTAAGTTGAATTTTACCACGCATTCATCAGAGAAGGACCCACAGCATCTGCCGTTTCGCTTCTCTATCGTCTCTGTTCTTGGCCACGCGTGGGAGATATTTGACCGCCTGCCGAAGAGCCCAGGTAGAGAACACATCGCTCACGTCGTTTGACCCTTGGTATGCGGGTCGTAACAAGGGGTTAGCGGGCCGAGGGATTCGTTCTGTGTAAGGGATTGCAGTGTAGCTTTCGAGGGCGTGGAAGAGCTACGCGCTACAGATTAGTGTCCCTTCTACGGAATATATGTGCGATGCACTTACGACGTCCAGCCCTGCGCTAATATGAACAGCAGTAGGGCAGCTGTCCGTATTCAAGGTATCGACTATCCCGAGTGTAGGCTTCAGAGCGCGGTTTGCGATCCCAGTTTTGAATTTCATGGAAGGAATGTCCAAAATAGCAGTACCAGTGGTCTCGGAACCCGTTCCGGCCGTGGTTGGAACTTGAATGTATGATAAGTGGTTTGTTAAAGAGGTTGTATGCACAGAAGGAACATACCTGCAATGAGCGGACGCAGCTTTTCACTAATTGGCAGTCCTTTGCCAACAGGTGCGTTGATGAAATCGAAGAGATCAGCATGCTTATAGACGGTAAACCTGAGTGGACGCCTCAGTCATATTTTTTGACCACTAAATCGGGGAAGCTTACAAGTTAGCTGCTTTAGCCGTATCAATAACGCTTCCACCTCCCACGCTAAAAGGCGCCATAAGCAAGTATCCTCATGATGGGCCAAGGGGTGTTACTCACGCAAGGAAATGTGAGAAGTCATGCTGCCTCGACCAAGCAATCGCATCGTTCCAACTGGAGTCTGTCGGTTCAACAGCAACACGGTCGAATACTTCGTAGTTTATTCCGTGTTGATCCAACGACTCAGTTGCCTGGCA